TTCATTTGTTTTCCTTCTCTTGTTCATTTTTGTCATATGCTGAATTAACATTTTTATGGTAGTACTTTCGGTGTGTGCCAAGGCGCTTTTGTTTATGTTGTTATGGAATTTGTCTGCCTATGGAAACTTGCAAACGTTGAGTCATTCTTGAGCCCCCTGGGGAAAAATAGGAATAAGTGTGAATTTTAGGGTGACAGATGCAAGAGATCCACAGATTAAAGAGTTATGGGAGATTATTACCATTTTTGTGTCTTCATTCTTCCACAGTAATAAAACAAAGCTATAAAAATGTGGTGGCCATGACTAAGTGTTAATTAAAATGTTACTAATTTTCTTGTACTGTAGGATCTTGAAAATTATATTCATTTTATTGGGGCATATTGTGCAATTTAGAAATTTTGCTTGAGTGCGGACAGCTAGATTTGTCTCATATTATGATTTAATAATGCTTTACAAGTTTAGTAGTTCATGGTTATTTGTCGCTAAATTTTTCCTAAGATATAAGTTGGTTGAATAGTCGGTTATAGTTTACAGGAAAAGTAGTGGTTCCTTATCATCATTCTCTACCTTGATATTGGACAACGTGTAATCGGAATGCAGTTGTGTTTTTTGTGCCTTTTAATTGTGTTTGATACTAAGTCAATGCAAGTACAGGACGCTGAAATTAACTTCCTTTGTAGCTCCACAAATATATGGGTGGCTTAAATGGAAATCTGGTTGACTATTGCCTATCGAAATTCTTTCAATCTGAGCATCTTCTTTATAGAATTTCTAAAGAGCAAGTACTAGTTGGTGTTTATCATATCTTAGCAAGATGTTTTTGTTTAATTTCCTTTCAAGTCTAGATGAAATCTGATGCTTAATTTTCAACTGTCTGAAAAGTTCATTATACTTAATTAAAATAATTTTAAACGCATAATTCATTGCTGTAGCATCCACATCTGCTGTATTTTGACATCGCTTGATAGAAAAGAATGTACGCAGTTAACATATTTAAGAATTACTCAGTACTAAAAATGTAAATAATAAATAAAATTTTGGCATAGGAAAGATATATTTTGGTAGAAAACACAATGTATTTTGTCACTTATGTTGGTTTTGGGATACATGCTGAGTTAATCTCATTGAACTTTTCCCCAGGAATTGATGCACTTACAATTGCCGGGTCATTATGCTGCTCCACCTGTGTAGTGTTAAGGTCAGTGTGTTTTTCTGATTATAAAAACCATCCATACCATTCCATTATAAATTCACTGCCATTCATAATGGAATGCACCATAGCTGAGAGCTAGTTGCAGCTGCCCCAGGTACAAAGATCAAACAGATGTAGCTTAGGTAATTTGAGATCCTTTTTACAGCTAATCCTAGCAAAGCTTCATTTAATATAATGTTCTTTTATAACAAGCACTGCACAGGTATATTTATTTTATTCAATCATGCCATGATAACCAATACAAGATGATCACAAGAAAGTCCTGGGAGCAGCAGCCAACTGTAACATAGCAGTTGCTCACATTCATTCTTAGACAAAACATAGAATGCATCAACCACCCACAGCGATGGGGCATTTTTCCCGAAATTTGCACATTTTAACCTGAAAGGGATTAAAATTCATTAAAACACATGTATCCGTCATCACAGTATATACAGGGTGTCAAATGCAAAAGTACATGACTGGCACTAGCCGCTGAATCTATGAGATGCTGAGCATGCAGTAACATGCTGTTGTTGTATTATATACCTTTTTGAAGAGCTTGGATTTCCTTAAGTGTTGTACATTCCTAAACAGAGCCAGAATGTGTGTGAATGCTTTGCTAGTATTATTTCCAGCAATGAAATAAGCACAGTCTTCTGCAATGTGTTACCTTTAAATTTTTCTTTGCTGCTGAATTCACAGAATAATCTGAATTCCTAGAAAATACAAAATATTACCTTATATTAACCAAGACATTTTCTTCCAGTTTCATGGGTACCTGTTCCCTATACTTTGGCTTTTTCAATATATGGTAGTCAATAAAGGCCTTAGACATTAATTAATTATCTTGCTAGGGGATATTTGTTACTTGTTCTCTGTGCAAATTAGACACTGCTATAATTGCTGAGACAATATAAGCAGCCATTTAATGACTGATATCTTTATGTAAATATTGTACAGTACTCGTGATTTGAATTCCCTTTAGATGTAAATATAATAATGGGATTTCTTCTTGTATTTTAAAATTAATGTAGATGTATGCACTGTATAATGTGCACACAACACAAAAGTCATTGCTCAGTGATGGAAAGAACAATATTATATTCTGTAACAAGCAGTTCTTGAAGATTCTAGTTTATGAAAACTCTGCCCACCAAAACTGAAGCCTTCTGGCACTGCATGTTTCAGGAATGTTAAGTAGTGCAGCAAATAAGTGTACCACTGGATGTATTCAGCAGCACACTTCCAGTGCACTCAAGTACTTGCAGATACATGAAATAGGCCACAAACCAGGAAATATATGTAAAAGAGTAGGTGTTATGTAGTACTATTGAGAACATGAATTGTAATTATATGTTTTCTGGAAGCTACTACTGACTATAAGCTCCTTCATTGTTTGTAATACAGACAAAGCAGGAAGATACAATTAGTTTTAGGAGCTGAAATTGACTTTTTGTTTTCAAATGGAAAGAATCACATGAAAGAGATTCTTTCATTACTAAAAGAAACAAGAGTAATATATGATTGTTGTTTAATATTTGGGTACATTTATAAAAATTTTAAAACAATAAACTTCACCTGAGCAGAAGAAAGTGACCCTGAAACTTTTCCCAGAAAGTGACTCTGAAAACAGAGAACTAGATTGCACAACTGCATTTTTCACTGCCTCCTAAGGATATGTCTGCACTGCATTCCTCTTTCGAGAGAGGAATGCAAATGCGGCTGAGTGAAATTGCAAATGAAGCATGGATTTGAATTTCCCTTCAATTTCACTTAATTTGCATAATCGCGTCTGGGAGCTATTTCAAAAAAAGAAATGCTGTCTAGATGCAGTTATTCAAAAGAAAACCCTTCTTTCAAAATTACCCTTAAACCTCATTTTATAAGGAGTAAGGGTAATTTTGAAAGAAGGGTTTTCTTTTGAAATAACCACGTCTAGACAGCGTTTCTTTTTTCAAAATTGGTTATTTTGAAATAGCGCTCGGACGCGATTATGCAAGTGAAGCATGGGAAATTCAAATCTGCGCTTCATTTGCAATTTCGCTCAGCTGTGTTTGCATTCCTCTCTCGAAAGAGGAATGCAGTGTAGAAATATCCTAAGATCTTTACAAACTTGGGCTCTGAGGGTTTGTCTAGACTACAAGTCTCCGTCCACGGAGCCATGTAGATGAGTTTACTAGACATAGCAAAATGAAGCAGTGATTTAAATAATTGCCGGTTCATTTACATCAAAATGGCTGCCCACTGTGCCAATCAGCTGATTGTCGGCACAGCGCATAGTCTAGATGGGGATCAACCGACCCCAGATCCCTTTGTCGTCAGATCCCTTATGCCTCGTGAAACGCCCTTATTTAAATCACCGCTTCATTTTGCTATGTCTAGTAAACTCCTCTACATGGCTCCGTCGACGGAGCCATGTAGTCTAGATACACTCTGAGAGGCATAAGGAGTGACTCGTAGAGCTCAGGTTTCAACACCAAGAATTATGCCACCTGTCCCCAGCTGAGTTAGCATTAGATAGCTAAAGCATTCTGATAACTCATAACTGATATATGGGAGCAGAGTGGTAGAAGTAGTCTTTGAGGCACAGTAGTCATAGATCATTTAAAAATTTATACTTGACCAAAAAAAAAAGCTTAAATTGTGCAAGAAGGGAATTGGATGTTTGTGCAGAACCCAGATGTTGCATGATCTATCAGCTTGCCACATTTAAAAGATGGGTGAGCCACAATCGATTTTAGCTGTGGTTTCTGAGTGATCTTCAAAGATAGCCCTTTTTACAGCTTATTACAATTACTCAACCTGGAAATGGCAAAAATACAGGTAATTATAGCCAGGGTCACATCTTAGAAAGGTTTGCTATATTCTATTAGAGGAGATCCAGTTTGCTAAAATATTAAATATGAGGCACTACAGCTTACAGCAGCTTCCTATATGGCCTGCAGCTGCAAAGAACTTTATATAAGTATAGAATGCCTCCTTTCCTTCAGAGATGCTTCTTTTGAATTTCCTTTGGGCCTCAACTTATGAAGCCAACGATATTCAAACCTTGATAGATGTCAGTGCCACAGATCCAAAGCCCTGCTATTTTTTTAGAAATTTCACCAATATTTTTAAATGTCGCTAAGTGAAATAAAATATTTAGCACAATTTGAACTGCAACACCTCTCACCATATTTTTCGCAATGGAGGGAGGACCTGTTCTTCAAATCCCCTATAAACTTGCAACAAGTTAGAGCAAGTTTACCCTGAAAAATTAAAAGTAATTCATGCTGATACTGACTACTCTTTCTGTCAGTCCCTGGAATAATCATTTTCAGTAATGGTGGCCCCTGTCAGTCAGTGGAAAGATATCTCTTGAAAAACCAGAACAATGTATAATTAAATCTGTATAAATAGAGATGCAGCAGGTGCTGAGCTATACTAACCTATGCAACTTTGTAGCTGAAGCAGACTGACTTACTGTGGTGTCTTCTATGTGGTAAGGTTGATGGGGGCTGCTCTCACATCAACTCCGGCTACTCTTCTCATTCTGGTTTGTAGAGAGCAGGGGTGGCTGGTCACTCACCCTGAGGGGGAAGAACCCCTCTCCGAGCCTGGGTGGGCCAAGCTAGGTCCTGTCCCTTTAAACCCCTGGAAGCCAAGGGGTGGGGCAGGTAAGATAAAAGCCCAGCGTAGGAGCTCAGTAAGGCCCCAGCTGCTGGAGGAAGCAGAGGCTTGTCCTGAGCTCCCAAGCCAGGAGGGCCCTGAGGACCTTGCAGAGGCTGAGGATTGTCCCAGCCTGCCAGGCCCTCCTCTGAAGAGACCTTCTTTACCCTGCCAGAGGATGCAGACTATGATGACCCTGAGAACCGGCAGGGGGAGTGTAGCTGTGCTGCTGCACTATAGTAAGTGTAGATGAGCCCTAAACAATTAAGGGTATGTCTATATGAAAAACATGGCAGTGGCACATTTGTATCGATACAGCTGCATTGCTGAAGCACATCTGGGGAAGACTCTCTGTGCTAATAGGTGAGAGCTCCCCCGTCAGCATAAAAAAAAAAAACTCCAAGAGTGAGAGAATCTCTTCCACCAATATAGCACGGAGCACACAAGCACTTATGTCAGGCTACGTCTAGACTGCAGGCTTCTGTCAGTAGAAGCTTTTCTGGATGAACTCTTCCCGAAAAGCCTTTTTCAAAAGAGAGCATCTAGACAGCAAAAGCTCAACAAAAAAGTGATCTGCTTTTTCAAAAGATACTATCCACATCGATTGGACGCTATCTCGCGTTTCAGTTGTGATTACTGTGGACGGAGTGGCCACCAGGGCACCAGTGCTTTTTCCTGGGGGCCTCTTCTTTTGAAAAAACACTCTTGTCTGTGTCCACACACATTTCTGAAAAACCTTTTTCGGAAAAAGGTTTCTTCCTTGTATAAAGGAAGAAAGCTGTTTTTCTGGAAAAACTCTGCAGTATAGACATATCCTCAGTGTAACTTATGTGGCTCAGGGGGGTAGTATAGGCATAGCCTTTTATCACAGACTGAGATAAAAGAAATAATAATGGTGGAGCAAATGGGACTACACAAAGCCCCTTGTATGATGGGGATGGGAGAATGAGGGGGGCCCACAGCACCCTTGGCAATGACTGAAAATTCTTAGCACTTAAAAAAAAAGTCTTCCTTGCTCTGTCTAAAACTATGGGGTGGCTGTTCAGTGAGCTCAGGGAACCATGCAGAGAGGAAAAAGATCCTCCTTCCTTTTGTTATGCCTCCCTAAAGCATGTTCCATGATGGGAGAAGGAGAGAAAAAAGAGAGAGAGGACACCAACCATCTACCCATCACTTCCAATGCAGGAGGAAGAAAGATACTTTGGAGGGGGAGACAGAGTCCTTGATATGGTGGGGAGGGAACAGAAACCTGTTATGGGGGCATACAGATCCATGGGTAGGCGGGAGGGGAGTACAGGTGGCACACAGAGTTCTTGGCATTGGGGGAAAGGGAGTAGGGATGGTACACAAAGTCC